ACAGTAGCCCAAACATGCACAACGGAAAACATTGTTCTATGCTGGATATTACACCTAAATATAATTGCATAAATACTTCACCATGGACTTCATACCCTTTCAGATGCACACAACTGATAAAAGCAGTGATAATTTCGTTCTGGATCTGTTATCTGTACTACACGTGATCTTTCTAGCAAGTAAGTTCTAATTGCAGCACCAGATATTCTACCATTTGAATCAAATTGAATTTCAACAAACTTCCCAAAACGGCTGCATTCAGGAAAATAGAAATAATGAGGCAATGACCAAGAAAAATTTCAATAAAAGAATATTTGAACTGCTAAACTACTGTTTCATTAAAATGTAAAACCCTGTTAAAACATCCATAACAGAGAGCTTGATTATTCATCATATGCACATAATTAAAAATAAAATATTATCTCACAAAACTGACAAACTTAAGTAGTATTCTTCCACTTTACACACTTAAACCTCAGACTTTAATCTCAAATATGAATACCACGATTCCTAATTTTAGTCCTTCTGAATCTATATCCCAGGAAATACACAAGGGAATAAAATTCTATGATGTCACGGAATTCTCTTCTCACTTGTATATTTTGAGATTTTAAGCAACAACGGTGCAGTCTGTGGGTGTAAACAAGTGAAACTGAGCAGAGCCAAGAACTAAACTCAACTTAAGAAAAAATTGGGTGGCTCAAGCTTGGCTTATTTATTTAAATAAGACTTATTAAGAGTTGGACTTGCTTAAGAATAATAAAACTTGGATTTAGCTTTTTTAACTCATTTATAACATATACTTTTATCCTGAGAAAACTTTCTTTCAATGATTAAGCAGAACATTTTAGTGCTAGATAATAATCTAAATACAAAATATACAAACATGTGGTATGATATTGTCAAAATCACATCTATGTAACTATATTTTTTTATGATAGACACTCACATGAACCATTCATAATGTTACCTTGTAAAGTTGCGCTTAGCACAGTAAAATAACTGAAAGCTTGGTCGATCATGTATTGATTCGGTCAAATAGCATAGCTTATCTATACCTCAAGATCATTCCCCATTCACTGTTCTAGTAAAGTCGGGTCTTTAAATAATTGCTATTCCATGAAATGCCACTTTTTAGGTACAAAACTATGATTCTATGAAGTCAACTATGGTTTTGGATGGATGGACGGTAGATTAAATAGACAAGATTGTGTCTTCAAATAGCATGCTTTAGTTAATTAAAAGATAAGAAAATATCATAAGACAGACCAAAGAAAAATTATATACTTATTTCTTAAATCAAGGTGGAAAGTGAAATATTAGAGATTGGCAGAAGGTCTATATACAAACTATAAAGAACCAAGTTCACCTTGAATTGTCATTCCTGACAGTCCTTGCATTGCCAAATGCCTCTAAGAGTGGATTCGACTGAATCAAGCAAAAATGTTCAATCAGCATTCCTTATTGATGACTAAATGGAATGGAAGTTATAAGTAAAATAATTCTCAAATTCATGATCAATGGAGTTTAAAATTAGCCTACTTCAAGAACTTGTTGTTCAACAGTTCTGTCATCACCAGCAGCACGCCCACCAACAAAGGTAAGATATTGCATAATCAATTTTGTAGTCTCTGTTTTCCCTGCACCACTTTCACCACTAACCAAGATAGATTGGCTTTGACCTCCATTCATCATAGCTCTATATCATGCCGAAAAAAAAAAACTCACTAGTCACAACATGAAAAGGCAAGGAGTAAATATGACAAAAAAGAAACAAAGTAATGGGCAAGACCAAATACGTACTAACCTATAAGAAGCATCAGCAACAGCATATACATGTGGACTAAGCTCACCAAATGGAGTTCCCTTATACTGCTCCATCATATGAATATCATACAGATGAGGAAGCTTTGTGAATGGATTAACAGCTATTAAAATGCTCCCTGTATAAGTCTAAGAGAGAAAAACAAGTCACTGGAAAAAGCATAAAATAGTACACAATGCAATGTAAAGGATAGGCATAATAATCCTTGCAAAATATATAAATATATGTGTGTAGGTGTGTCTGCATGCATATTGATCAATAAATTTATAAATATATATAAATCACATTGACATATTAAGTAAATGCTAATTGTTTCATCGGTATTGGCTACCTTAACAAGCACTGCACCTCGAATATACTACTGTAAAAGTCCTTAAATGAAAACACCGATTATTTACCTTCATACATTAAAAGATGGTGGCAACAAAGCACATGTCAGCTTATCATACTTATTTACGTTCAAATACCAGCAGATTGGGAAGTGGCTAGGGACAATAGTCGCATACCCATATGCAATTTTGACAGTAATAATGGGAGTTTGATTGTCATGAATGGTCAATGTAAGAAATGTTATACTATTTCTCAATCAAAAATCATCATTGGGGGGTTGTGTTTTAAAAGATTTATTTTAAAGGTATGACCTATCAATGCTAAAAATGTTAGCTATTGTGAAAGATAGCAAACTTATCATAAGTGACAATTTGCAATTGAATGATCGTGTGGAGTGTACAAATTAATTACCATACGCAGCAATACGTGATTAGGTGACAATGTAAAAAACTTAACACTCAAGGCATTTCAATTAAAATCTAACGAAAAACCCTACATTAATAGCATTATACAGAAAATTGAATATCATTTCACTAATATGGTAATCCCCTAATGCCAACTTGGCTCACCAAAACCCACTTCACACAGCGCAGTAGTAGCAACTATAAACTCATGCTCATCTCGCCATTAAACAAATAAAGATTAAGAACACGAAAAAAAAAATAACCCCTAACTCTCCATCCAGTTACCGATAAATCACTTCACTAAAACTCACATAGATATCATTCAGCGCATATCTTCTGCGGAGATTGTACAACACCCCTGGCTCATTCAAGTACGCCAACCTCGTCATATCTTCCACTCCTCCATGCTCATCTTCGTCCGCGTCCCTGGGAAACACGTTCTCGGAAAGAGCGACAACCTGCAGCAACAACAACACACCTCACAAATTCATCATCCAAATTATGCACCAGCATTCACAATTGCAAGCAGAATAACTTAGACAGAAACAAAACCCTCACATTATGGCCAGAAGCAGTGGCAACGGTAACATTCTTTCCTGAAGATTCGACTACTTCAGCTGGTATCCACGCGAAATCCCTGTCGTGAACCCAAACCTTAGTGCCATGGCGCAGATTCATGATCGGTTCCTGCAAAGGGGAAAAAAAAGTGGAAAATGAAACCCTAGAGAGAGAGAGAGAAGTTGGAGAGTGAGAGGTAGTACTTACAGGCATGAGGTTGAGGTAGTTCTCTTCTGTTCTGCTGAAAAGTGTGGTTCCCGCCCTATCGGGTGAGGACTATGAGTCAAAAATGGCGAAACTGTACGCTATTTATATCGTATTCGACACGTCACCACCGTACCCAGTTTGGCCTTGTAGTTTTCTTCCTCTTTTCACTCGCGGTTTCGCTTTACCGTATCATCCGCTTCTTTCTTTTGCCATGGTTGCACCAAATTACGTTACAGTTTTAAATTAGATCGATTCTCATGATCTCACAAAGTAACTTCCATTTTTTAAACATTGATGATATTTATTTCCCCACGATCATGTTTTTTCATTCAACTTCTTACACAATTTGAATTCAAAATCTTAACTTTCAGAATTTCTCTTATAATTTAACCTTTGTAATATCATTTCAACAGTCGTGATTTTTTAAAATTACTAAAAATATAAAATGCGAAAAAATACAATCGTAAACCATAGCACATAATAGTTTATTTATTTTTATAATAATTACCTTCAAATTTTACGAAGAATGTGCTTCTTATTATTTACAATATACTTTTACGACTTTTTGCATATTTGTATAGCTTACCCCTCAAAGCTTAGTATAAGTATTTAAATCGACTGTAAAAAAAGTCAAAGATACCTTTGACATACGATAGCGATGTATATAAACTAAATTTAATAAAGAAAAAGAGTTACAGCTTTTATAAGATTTAATTACAATACAATTTCAAGAGTAAAACAGACCGAAACAAAATGCCATTGGCATCAACGTATAAAGGAAGCAAAGGACAATTTTCATCTCTTCCTTCAGTTTTGTTTCTCCTTTGCTTTACGCTTCAATCCTTTATTAATTTTGACCTTTTACTCCACTTGTTATTGGTTTGGTAAGAGAGATAAAATCATTGAAACAAAAATTCATGCATCATTTTCAATATAGTTTTTTTATTTACTATAAAAGTACATCATCAATTCATAATTTTTTACCCGAAATAATTCGCAAAACTAATCTCTATCTTTAGAAGCTTTACTATGATTCTTGCTAATGTAATCTATGATTGAAGTGCTTTTTACATGAGTTTATTTTGTTTACATAAACATAATTGAGTTCAATTACAAAAAAACAATACATTCTATCCTTTAAGAAAAGTTAGACGAATAACTTGCATGGAAATATCCTTCAGTATTTGACAGAATTGTCCATTAATCAAACGATAAAATAATGTAATTTAGGGTAACCCGTTCTCTTTGGCAAGGATTAGGAATAAAATGTTATAACTTATAATTAAGAAATCAAAACAGTATAAAGATTTAACTTAGGCTTCTCGAGGAAACATTCATAAGAGTATCTAGAAAAAAAATGAAATAAAAGAAAAACTGTAAAGTATAATTAATAAAAATAACGTTTTTAATTTAATTTGTGATATTTTAAAAAATTAATAAAATATAACATTTTCAATTTAATTTATATACAAAACTAATTTTAACTTGAAAGAATAAATGATTTTGTTTTCTTTCCTGATATTTCCTTTTGAAAAATAGTGATAGAAAGATGTCTCCAAATCCTTAAGCCTGAATAAAATATATTGTTGCATCATCGCTTTCCTAAGAAAGAATCAATAAGAGCCTTTAATCTTGTAATCATCAATCCTTTAAGATTACACGACGGGGACAACTTATTTGTGCAAATTGCAATGTAATCTATTGTCTTTTTTCATTAGCATAATAGTATTATCATTGAATAAAGGTAGTACAATTAGTGTAATGGAAAAAGGTAGTACAATTAGTGCAGTGTAGATAAATGTTAGGCATTACACCAAAAAATTACTGGAGTGATTTTGTTCCTAGTTTATCCAGATGGACCATATTGCATACAAAGTATTTGACATATTTCCTCTGTGGCTTAAATATACATTGATTCTTCAAGTGCTCACTCGCTGTTTTGAGATATTACTTCTCCAAATTTGAGGAAGAGTTGCGCATCAGAGGTGCTGATGGAGGGACAGTTGACCAGGTGTGGGGCTTTAAGATTGGCGTATTCATCCTTGTAGGATTGCATTTTTGCAGATGGCTGTGAATGAGGTAAAAGTACTTGCATTGGTACTGATTCTTTTGGTGGCACTAGACTCCCCAGAACGCGGGTCACCTCGTGCATTGTGGGTCTATCCACTGGTTGCTTCTTGGTGCACAAAAGGGCAAGCTGAAAAACCTTTTTTACTGCTCCCATGTCCTTGCATGTGGTACTGATATCTGGGTCAACGGTTTCCATTACAGCATCATTAGCTGTCTTGGATAAAATCTACTCTAATAAAGGGACTTAGATGTTAGAATATGAAAATTATGTTAGCAAATGAGTTAGGTATATGCCATAAATTATGGACTAAGGTAACAACTCCAAAGGGTAACACTACTCAGCTTATTCATGCTATATATATCATGTCTTTTAAGGTAAAATCTTGTTCAGCTATGTAGGACCATACAATGCTATGGCTTTACGTCAAATATTAGAAATATAACTTCTTTTTTGTATTTAACTATCTCAAAGCTCATGATGGGGCAAAAGAGATAACAGTCAAGAATTGTTTAAAATGAATGGAAGAGTCACCAGATGATGAAGGTTTGTTTCGTTTTCCACAGCTTTCCTCCCAGTTAGAAGCTCAAGTAATACAATACCGTAGCTATACACATCAGACTTCTCAGTGAGACGAGAAGTTCTAGCATACTCGGGGTCTATGTAGCCAATGGTGCCCATTATGTAAGTGGAAGTGTGGGACTTAGAAGGGCATAGACTCTTTGCAATGCCAAAATCGGTGAGATGGGGCTCCAAGTCTTTGTCTAGTAATATATTAGATGATTTTACATCCCTGTGAATGATACGTGGACAGCAATCATGGTGTAGATAAGCGAGCCCTTGTGCTGATCCAAGTGCTATTTTTAGACGAACATCCCAATCAAGTTTTTTCTTCTTGGTAGGTCCTGAAAAACATGTGCATGAATAAAAGCGTTGCTTGGCTTTAAAGTTTGTAGCAAAGCATGCAACACTATCAACATCTTTCAAGCAAAAGCTTCAACTTACCATGTAAAAGATCCCACAGACTTCCATTTTCCATGTAATCATAAAAGAGGAGGTTTCCAAATGGAGACAGAGAGTAGCCTTGGAGACTGACCAGATTCCTGTGCTTAATGCTGCCAACTGTCTCAAGCTCAGTCTCAAACTCTTTCAAGCATTGGGGGTAGTGGGAATACAGCTTCTTGATAGCCACTGGCTTGCAATTCTTAAGAACACATTTGTAAACTGTACTTGATGCACCATACCCAATTATATACTTCTCACTTAGGTTTTCAGTCATTCTCATTATATCATCATATACATGAAGTGCCATATTCATGTGAAGTATCACTAGCTTCGGAGGTGAGTAATTAACTGTCAAGAAGGAAAAATCAGTAGAGCATCATCTTCATTTTCTATAAGCACAGTTAAGATGAAGTACCTGGTTTGTCAAAAGATCCTTCAGGGAAAGGAGCTGGATTGTGTTGTCGGCAAGCTGCAAAGAGCACCATGAAAAGAATCACAAGGGCACCTAGAGCAATTCCTAGGATAGCTGCCTTAGACAGGTTAACTGCATCATCAAAAAACATATTAGCTCATTATGCACATACAAACTATTTAGTTCTAAATTGAATGATGTAATAGGAAGAACAAAGCGCCTTGTGTAACTTCCTCGTCAATCATCTTGAATGATTAACAGTGTCATTTTGGAAAATAAAAACAAACATGTGAAACCCAGTTTTATTCTTCAAATGCTTCTATTTTAACAAAATGCCATTACTCCCATATTATTTGTGTCCGTTTATTTCATTTAACGAAGGAAAAATTACAAAAGAGAAATATGGAAAAATTACAAAAGACAAATATGAAAGAGATATATAACAACAAAAATTACTTGAATAAAATAAACTTTGGCTTACAGACTATCTTTTTTATGTAATCAAGGGTCCAGATCACATCAGTCACAACAAAAAAATGCCCACATGGCAGGAATCTAATAAAAAAACTGTATCAGACAGAAGTAGCAACCTAGAAAACCTCAAGCACAAAACTATAAAAACAAAACATTGATGGGAAGATCTTTTAGGGGAGGAACTAGAGACTTTTAGGTGCTTATAGAACTATACAATAGAACCATACAACAGAACATAGATGGAAGGGGACATATTCCCCATCTTAGAGTTCCAACGTTAACAATCCCTTACATTACCCAACATATTCTAACAAGAATAACAACCAAAATTAACGTGGGAAGATCTTGAGGACTAGAGATTTTTTAATTACTGTAAAATCCATGAAACAAAAATATGAAGGAACAACATGGTATTATGCTAGAAAGTTCAGCTGACCTCGTTCGGTAGGGTGAGACCCTTGACAAGATGAATCCAGCCAATAGCCACAGAGACCAGGGTTTCCAATGAAACTGCAAATAAAATGCGACGTCAATCAATCAATGAATCCAAAAGAACATACTGATGGAAAGCTACATTGAGTTGAAAAATAGAAGCAATAGAGATAAAAGGTTCACCAGGAAATGGACTAACCTATCAGGAGTAAACCTGGAAAAATTGTTGCTTGTGGGAATAACACCAACTAAATTGTTGTAAGATACATTACTACAAAATTTTTAGTCAATAACCAATCTGTTGGGTAAAAGTTATATGATCTTTCCAGAGAATTATAATGCCAAATTGTTCCAAAAGTAAAATCAGAAGAGACAGAACTTACATCAAAGAAAGACTAAGGCAATTTACAAGTGAAGACAAATCCCCGGATAATTTGTTCATTTCTAGTCTCCTGTAGAATTTCAAAACAAGAGATGTGATTAAAACATGTAAGAACCGCAGCAAAATTATCACTCTATCATGATTTGTCAACTCAAATTAACAAAATAAACCCAAGAACGAGAAAATTAGTTCTGGGTCTATTCAAGCAATTAAAGAAGCTGATCTCAATACTCTATCAAATCTAATGAACATAGATTCTAAGCATAGTTTTTGAGAAATTCGTCCTAAAAGACAGCATATATTGCAACAAATTTATGTATTTCTACCATCCAATAAATCAGTAGAATTTAAGGAAGTTGGTTTACTGGCAAAAGAGATTTGCAAGTCCATAAAATATCATCAACTTATATTAACAAGAACTTATAAAACAAACATTGAATAAGGAAAAAGGGAGCTTACAAAGATATCATGTTCTGAAGCTGACTAAGTTCTTCAGGGATCAAGCCAGAGAGTTTATTATTTGAAAGGTCACTGGAGTACAGAATCGTGAAAATAGTCAGTACAAAAGCCAACCATCTTATCTACTAAGGGAGAACGGCTACATGAATATAAAAAAGTTATTTAATCAGTTAAGCAAACTGTCTGAGATATTACTTAGTAGGAATAATAGTCAGTAACAAGAACCAACAAAAGACTTTTGATGTATTTTTATCCATAAGTTGATTGACTTACATATCCATGACACTTCTTAGATTACCAAATTCTGCCGGGATAAAGCCTGTTAAATGATTTCTGCTCAGATTCCTAGCAAAATTCTTACTCACAGTCAGTGAAAAGTAACATTCAAGATTTCAAAAGTAACTTGCTAAAACACTCACAACTTCAGAAGATGTTCCAAATCACCAATGGAAGAAGGAATGGAACCAACTATATTATTATTTGATATATCCCTGGAGGAAAACATCGATTAGAAAGAAATCAGGGATATAGATATAAGAAGACATATTAAACTATTCATACTTACAGTGTATCCAAATTTCCGATCCGTGAAAGTTCAATTGGAATAGACCCTTGAAAATTGTTTGAAGAAAGATTCCTAAGGATAGCCATCACAAGGACTTGAAGGAATCAGAATTAATTAAGAAAATAAGTAATTCGTTTAACTTTGAACTGCTAAGTGTTGGCCAACTCCAGTAGGACTCTAATTAGCATTTATAGAAGTTCATGCGTACTGCCATGTTTAGGGCCAACAGAACTAATCACAGTAGAACTAATTATGCAGATAAGATGAAACATTTAGCATATTAAAGTCAAGGTAAAACTTACAGATAGGTCATACTCTCCAAGCTTTGAAAAACTGAGGGAATTGTTCCACTCATCTTATTCCCATGCACATTGCTGATATATATCATCAGAGAATCCATCACCTTAATGTAACGAAAAAAAAGTCCTTCTTACATAGTAATATACAAGGCTTACTACTTACAGGCTGTTGAGGTTTTTACATGAGCCGAGATTCTCGGGAATTGGACCCTCAAGGTTGTTATTGGCAACATTTCTGCAAGAACAATGTGTGACTGATAAAGCTACTCAACAACCAACAAAATATATAATTCATATTAACACCACTTACAAGTCAAACAGATCAGTAAGCTTTCCAAGCTCAGGCGGGATTGGTCCACTTAAAAGGTTATCATTCAATTCCCTGCACAGGAAGGTGAATCATTATAGGAAAAATTTAACCCAAGTTGCACCTGAAGTCAACTAATGACTAAAGCATATTACAAATAGTGAAGCTTTGTCATGTTGCCGAGCTCTGGGGGGATGAGACCAGTCAGCTTGTTTCCATACAAATACCTTCAAACATTACATAAATTTTATCCAATGAGTCTAAATATTTTCTGATACTTTTAATGCACACACTTAGGCACAAAATCAAACTTAAGATGTAAATTTTAAACTACTAACATGCACTCACAGTTTTTCTGTGTAGGTCAAATTTCCCAATATAGGAGGGATTGGCCCACTTAGCATGTTACAGCTCAAATCTCTGTAGGAATGTCGAAAGAGAGATTAGTAAAGAGGAAAAACATCAAGTCAACAAGGAAACTTCATAAAGTTTGTCAATCGAATACTTACAAGACAGTAATGGCTTGCATCAGACCGATAACTGATGGAATATAACCTGAGAGTTTATTGCCTTGCAATGACCTACCAAATTCAAACAAGTTTTTAGGAGCTTCTTAAATTATTAAAGTGGAAGACCACATCATTCTTTTTGAAAATATCTGACAGATAACACAATACATACAGAGTTGCTACTTGTAGGAAACCAATATTGAATGGTATCTCTCCAGATAGCTTGTTGTAAGATAAATCCCTGACATCAATAGAACATATTAAAAAGAATAGTGAAAACATGGTGAGATAAAGTCTGTGATACAGATACAGTTAGATATACATACAAGATCTCGAAAGCAGTACAATTGCCTATGTTTTCAGGAATACTGCCTGTCAAGCTATTGTTTCTCACGTCACTGCAAAATGGAAGGACGATAATAACTACTTCCCTACCACACCAAGTAAATGTATACTTTCAGGACATTAAATAAAAGGAGAGCCAGTGTAGTAACTTACAAATACCACAATCCAGTTAACTGGCATATGTCTGGAGAAAGTGAACCCGACAAATTGTTACCTCGCAAGCCACTGTCATAGGAAAATGAAACAAAAGGATTAACAGCAAGATCACATCATAGATTTCATTGCATAAGTAATTTAAATGATGGGTTTCACTAAATATACAATATACTCACATATATTGCAAAACTTCATTCCAGTATATAAGTCTTGGTATCTCACCACTGAGATTATTCTGTGCCAGGTCTCTGAAACAGAACCGATTTTCAAAAACTCTATAGATACTAAATTGATCCTTTAGACGAAAAAGAGAAAATGGAAAAATGACTTACAGAATCTTCAAGTTAGGAACCTGAGAGAGAGTTGAAGGAATTGGCCCAATGAGCTGATTATTTTTCAAGATTCTGAGAGCAGATTAAAAAAAGGGGGGAAATACTTGTCATAACCATGGCATTGCCTAGGCAAATAAAAACCCCAATGAAAGGGAAACCCTCACAAGAACTCACAGATTTTCCAGTTGTTTCATCTTCGAAATTGAAAACGGTATATCTCCCCGAATCTCATTAAAAGAGAAATCTCTGACAACACAGTAAAAGGAAAAAGTTCCCCATTAAACATTTTCTCTCGGCAGCCAAAACTATCAATGGAATTCAGTTCTTCGGGTATGAAACATACACGTTTTTCAAAGAGGAACAGTCACCAAGCTCATCAGGTATCTGCCCAGATAAACGGTTTTCCTTGAGATCACTGTTAAACTACACATGCATACAAAAGGGCATTGGTTTACAAAGCCTCGAGTTTGAGAATTGCAAATAAAACTAAGAGCCTAAATAAAGTTAAAACATGAAGCAGTAAGTACATGGAGACCAATCTGCTAAGCCTCCCTAATGCAGGTGAAATCTCGCCTTCAAGATTCAATCCTGAAAGATTCCTGTAAGAAAAAAAAAACAAAGAAAAACGAAAAGAAGATCCTTATTGAAGCACATGATACACAACTCAACAACAAGAAGAGTGGTACTTACAGTGCAACCACATTGAAAGTGACATTTTCACAAGTAACCCCTCTCCAGACACAATAATCTGAAGAAGGTGTGTCAGTCCAGTCAAACAGAACGTTATCCACATCCCTCAACGACTTCTTCATCTCCAACAAAGTTGCTCCTTCAATTCAAACATGCACATTGAGCTCGTAAACCAGAGGAACAAAAGAAAACAAACCGTGTCCGGTTAGAGAAAAGGCCTCACCGTCGTGAGATTCCACCAAATCCAAACGAAGGAGAAGAACCGGAAGAAGGAATCCAAACCAAAACGCCATAACTGCACCAAATGCAAGAACCACGAAAGAGAAGGCTTTGAGAGGTTCAGAATAGAACTCGTTCAAATGATGTGATGGGATAACATGCTTTTTTCTGGTTTTGAAGGGTGTGTTACAGAAGAAGCAGTGCTTTGTTTTGTAATCACGTCACATCACCCTGGCACATAGACTCTCTCTCTCTCTCTCTCTCTCTCTCTCTCTGTAATACCATGCTTGCTGGGTAGAATTACTAGTTATAATACTAAAATTAATGGAGTGATGTGAAGTGAATAAATTAATGGACTAAAGTTAAAACTATCTGGCAGCGGTTCTGCTACAACCTGCAACACTGTAGCAGAGTCTCTATCTACGTACCAAGCAGGGAGGTCCAGCTTTCTCTTTCTCTTTGTTTGTTTTCTCTCTCTTAACTTAATTACACTATGTGGTGGTAGCTGTAGTGGGATCTTATTTCAGCAATTGCAAATTATACCATGGCATGGTCTTAATTGACGTGGGAAAGGGTCGTTTTCACTTTGTGTTCTTGTGTTGTGAGAGTGATGCAAGGCAATAAGGAGATCCATTTGAGATGAGATGACAGAGACACCTTTCTCTTTACCGTTCACACTTCTCTCTGCCAATCTTCCAACACTTCCTCTTTCCATGATTATTTTTGAGTCTGTGTGTTTCTCTCCTTCAATGCCTTGTTGTTTATTATTTGAAAGGAGCTATCTTTCTTTGCTCTCTTTGTCAAATACTACTGCAACGTCTTTTAGATCAAAAGGGTTTGTTGCTAAATACATGCAACTCGTTAAAATTAAGGTTTTTTCATTTGTTAATGGTGAGATTATGAATGGGGAAGTGTAATTTATCTGAAAAAGAAAGGGTACGTGATCTGAGATTTAAAAGAAATCGTAGTGTTTTGTATTATAGCAACGTACAACGTAAATGATTGTATAGTTGGAACATGTAAATTATACTAAGGGGACAGTGACGTATCTGTCTATCTTAATGGCTTCTTTGATATGCAAAAATCCCATGAAAATGAACACACGAGTTTTTCTTAGATACTTAAAAATTGTGTGGGTATCCATGGCTATGAGAATAGTGTTCTTTATTTTTAGAGGTCTTGTTTTATGTTCGGAACTAAACAAGAGAACCAGAATTCAAACTTTACTTTAGGTTTGGTCGCACTGTTTTTTATGAATTTAGGACAAAAAGATATATGTAGGTTTTCTATATCTATTATTTTAAAATGCAAAAAAAAAAAGTATAGAAAATACTTATGTGATTCTCATTAAATGTGCTGAACAAATAATACAGAATAAAGTTTTTTTTGTTAATAAATGTGTTTTTTTATCTGCTGACACTTTTCTTTCTTTAAAACAGACAACATGGTAGCCAGTGATTTTTTCTAGCAATCATCAATCATAATTTGTTTTATTTCACAAGTAAAAGGCTAAAAATATTTGTGACTCACTACAATTAAATCTTAAGATAATAAATAAATAAAAATGCTATGTATAATTAAACTTTACTATTATTGAAAATTTTGAACGCAATTTTTTTTCTTGAAAAGTTAAAGAAATTAATGACCAAAAAATTAATAAATTTAAAAAAAAAATCTATCGGGTTTAAAAAAAATGTAATTTTTTTATACGGGTTAGTTTTCAACCCGGCTCATTTAAAACCCGGCTCACGGGTCAAATCTATGGTTAACCGGATTGGTTCACCAACCCACTTAATTTAATTAAATTATTTATTATTTTGTGTTTCAATATTATTAGTTAACATTTTTTTAATAGTGATAAAGAAGAAGATGTTTAAAGATAGAAAAATATTATAGATTTATTTATTCAAGATTCTAAAATTATAAATGTACAAGTGATATAAAAAATATCAACATTAAAAACTTATTTGTTTGTCTTGTGTACATGTTTTTTATTAAGTGTGGATTGTATGTTACTTTTGAGTTGTTTTTTGAGTTTAACATCATTTTCTTGTAATGTTTATTTAGATTTGAATTAAAAAAAATGAAATTTTTTTATTTAAAAGAAAACTTATAATTAAATGAACCAGTGAATCAACCCGTCAACTTGTTGTGGGTTGAGTCGAGTTTGAATTTTTTCAATTTGTTAATAAATAAGTCGAATTCGATTAGCTCGCTAAGTGACCAATATGTGATGAGTCAATATTTAACAACTCTAAATAAAAGGATGCATGTGAAAGTCACCCTATCGTGAATAAGAAAACTCTTACCCTTATTATTCAATAACTTCTTCAAAAATATTATAATAGAAAACATAGGAATTTGTTATTAAGTGTTTAAGAAAGTTTCTATAAATCCTATTAATAAAATGCTCCTACCAAGAGCGAAAAGGGTTTTTCACCATACCAGATATGAAAGCATTAATGAGTAATTTGATTTATAGGTTTATGGTTTATTTTAGTTATTATGAAACTTTTTATTTAATTAAGTTTCAGTATTTGTTGAATAACATTAATTTGGTAGTTTTTTTTTAAACTAGTGTTAATTATACTTGAAAGTGTTATGTATAAAACAAATATCATGTGTTAAAATCTTTACAATATACCATCGATCAAAATCTTCAATGTGTTATATATCAAAGAATCTCAGAATAAAAAACTATTCAAATTTTGACATATAGAAATTATACAAATTTTAACATGTAATTTGTCAAATTATACAAATATATTCCAAACATATTATATAAAAATAATTACAAAAACTAAAATAAATCATGGAACTGAATAAAATAATCAAATTATTAATTAAGTCAAGAAAGTGAAGCAAAGCAATTTTATATTCTTTTCACTTGTATTCATAAAATAAATAATTGCCGAGTAGCCTCTTGCTATTTATGGTAAATAAAAATAAATTGTTTTAGTAAAAAGATCTATCTTTGTAAGAAATTTATATTGTTTCGTACCAAGCTCAATAACTCGAATAAATCAAGAAGTTCAATCCAATATTGCCTTCAAACATTACGGATGATATAATAATGTAACTCCCTGAAATGAGAGAACATCTCACGATGTTCAAAAGATTGATAATTTTTTCTTCAAAATCAATAAGTAACGTCTGCATCTACTACACACATAGTGTAATTTACTAAAATATTATAAATAGTATAATATTTAACCAGCAAAAATATTTATTATTTAAAAGTATATTAATATAAAAATTTAATTAAGTTTTACACATATTTAAATATTTTCAAATATTTTTAACTGAGTGGTTTTTAAATTAATTATTTTATTAAATATTCAAAAAAACTATATTTTTAATTAACTATCTAATCTTTTCATCAATTAAATTGACGTGATTGTTATTTTATATTATCATTGTTTACGTATCATTCCACTTAAAACAAAAATAATTAAGTTTAAATTTTTCATAAGTTTGAATATTTTAAATTAAATTCACATTAAAAATAGTTGTTTTATTGAGTTTAAAAATTTCATATTTTTCAATTGATTTTATATTGACTGGGATTATGCGTTTAATTTTATAATATCACATAAAACAACACAAACTTTGACAATAAAAAAAATTATAATGTATGATTAGTAAAGATATATTTACTTGACTTGTAGTATAAGAATGTGTTTGCTTATAGGTATTTTTCTAATTAACACTTTGTTCAGTTAAATAGAAGTTGATTTGGGAGAAAGTGATTTAATGGATTTGAGAGGAATTGAAGGTAAATTTTTTGTTGTTTATTTAAGTTGTTTTGGAAGTAAATTTTTTTAATCTGTCACATCAATTAAATCCTACACTGATTCTCACAAACTAAACAAAAAAATAATTACTTTCAAATCCTCTTAAATTCATTCAATCACTCTCTTCTAAATCTATTTAAACGAACAAAACCTAAAAAAATTTATTAAAATGATGTTCAGTTTGAAATAATTGAAAGTGAGTCAAGTTGTTGATGAATTGTGAAATAGAGGGATTTTTTAATTGTGTGATATGCTATTATTTGAAGGGATTTAATGCTAAATATCATTTTCGTCCTTATAATTTTCATAATTCCACCATTTTGACATTGAGAACGTGAGAACATCAACTTCTGTAATCGATTGTGTGAAGGGTATAACTAATTTGAATCCATAACTCATTCTAATGGTTGACAAAACTGATTCTACATTCACCTAGAACCCATTCCAGACAGTGTATTACAATGTCATTAATCAATTAAAAATATATATTTTTAAAGTTTAAATAACATATTTTGGCTTTACTTAAATAATATTTTTATTTTATTTTATATTTTTTTAATTTTAATTTATTTTATCTATAAAGATGTTATTAATAAATATCATTTTATATGATTTTTATCACTAACAATATTTTGATAATATTTAATTTCTATCTATTAAAACATTATTTTATTTATTACATAAGATAAATCTTACTAAGTTTACTTCTAAATTCATCTAAATCACATATAAATTCTTAAAAAATAACAATATACAATTTATTTTCAAATATTCTCAAATTCATCTAATCTCTTCCCCTTAAATCATTTATCTCAAATGAACTTACTTAATATTTACATAGATATCAAGTAAAAAAAATGATTTTTTTACATATTTAAAACGTATTTATATATGTAAGAATAATGTTACATAAACCTATAAAGTCTTAAAAATAGGTTAAATATATGTTTTTATTAACACATACTTAATATAAATAAATTTCCAAAAAACATTTATTATCATTTTTCTATTTTGCATCACTTCAAATTTCAATCTGCTTGTAAATTTAAAGTTTTAGAAGTTAGGTCCGACAAAAGTTCGTTGAATTATTAACTCACTTGTATAAAATTATACTAGTAATTTTTTGATTAACTTTCTCGTCTACTTATACATTGTTGTATGGTAATTATACAAGAGAATGTTATAACTTTGTTGTGTGGTAATTATATTAGAGAATGTTACAACTTCGTGAAATAAGTTTAAATAATTGTAAAAGTTAAAGTAACGTATATATTGTTGAGTATTATGTGAATACAATAATGATATTTTAAGTACATTTTCTTATAACAATGTGTCATTTTATAATTAATTTAAAATTATTTTATAATTAATAATAATAATTATAAATAACATTAATCAAATCTGGTTATGCTTTGTGAATATACTTCGTACATGATATTAATAAAATAAGTGAGTTAAACGTATTAATAATTTAATTTGAAATATTTGAATGGATGAAGTTGCGTTGCCTGAGAGGAAATAAAGTTACTGTATTAACCTTGGGAATTGGAAAGTNTTTGTGACTCACTACAATTAAATCTTAAGATAATAAATAAATAAAAATGCTATGTATAATTAAACTTTACTATTATTGAAAATTTTGAACGCAATTTTTTTTCTTGAAAAGTTAAAGAAATTAATGACCAAAAAATTAA